ACGGAAACATGAACGTCAGGCTGGGATTCGCAGCGAAAGCCTTTCTCCACAGCAGTGGCCAACAACATTGAAGCTCCTGCAAGCACGAATCCTTTTTCCAACCTAATAGCAATGGCATCCAACCAAGAATCTTTTTTCCATTGTGAGAACACTGTAAGCATTCTTGGTCCACGCTGCTCGCAGTAACAATTCGACAGAAGGAGCTCCAGGCAGGATGTGCTTCGAGATTTGCATGGTTTTCTCATCCGGGCATTTGTCGAAAATACAACAACTTTTGTTGCAGCCGACTCCACTTCTCGTATCTGTGCATGAATGGTTGAAGGAGCTTACACACGTGTCCAGGGTTGATGGCGTCGCATGAGAGGCAACGGAACATCGTGTGCCAACAACATGGCCCAGATGAACAACGTCATGGCAGCGGGCTTTCAGTGACGCTTGTGTCAATGGAGTAAAGACTTCAGTATTTTGAAGGCTCCCTGAAGCAGCGAGGAAGCTGGCAGAATCTCTCTGCCTGAGGTGGTTTGTCATCCAAACGGCATGATGCAACAGATGCCGCAGATGATGTGACCTGGGTGCAGAATGAACTCCTTGTCATGATGACTGGTGATTTCGCCAGTCTTCCTTTGAGAAGTTGCTACTGAACTGATGCTTTCAAGGACTTGTTGACTCATAGGTGCAACACCTGCATCGTTTGCTTCTTTTTGCCAATCACTGCAGGTTGACTTTTGGGAGTAGAAGGGTGCACTCTTTTATGCTTGTATATTCTGTTGCTTTCATGGCCATTCTAGGTAACCTGTCTCAAGTGAAAACACCGAATACCACTGTGAGCGGAAGGGTTTTAATGCTATGGCAGTTGAGGTACGCGGTCCCCAACATGATGACACCAATGACCTTCATGGGCCCAGGCAGGAAGTGGACTATGTGATAGTAACTAACTAATTGTGACTGCCCTTTATGAGTATTGCTCCTTGCATGAGCAGCATGTGGGACACGCATTGTTAGGAGTGTAAAGCAACAAATCTGTCTGAAGCATGGTGCTTGTAAATGCATTAGTGAAAACATAAACACAAAGAAGTGACAAATCTTCAACGTTTGCAGGATCTGAAATGTCCAGCCCAAGTGGCACCAGTGGATTTGTTTCCACTGGGCAGGAGCGGTCTGCATGGATATAAAGTATGACTAGCTGACTAGCTATATGGGTCCCTGGAATATCTACTCAAAGTCAACTCATTCTGATGAGGAAATGTTCGGAGGTGTGCCGGCTCTCAGGAAAAAAGAGTGAAGTTTATGGGAAGAGACAAAAAGAACTAAACAGAGTGCATCACGAGTTCCCCCTCTCATAAAATGGGGGACACTAATCTATTTTCTATTCTATAGTAACAAGAAGCTATTAGAAACAAGTGCATCGCTACTAGTAGCAAGTGCCTTACTAGTAGTAACAAGAAGCTATTAGAAACAAGTGCATCGCTACTAGTAACAAGTGCCTTACTAGTAGTAACAAGAAGCCATTAGAAACAAGTGCCTTACTAGTAGTAACAAGAAGCTATTAGAAACAAGTGCATCGCTACTAGTAACAAGTGCCTTAGTAGTAGTAACAAGAAGCCATTAGAAACAGGTGCATCGCTACTAGTAACAAGGGCCTTACTAGTAGTAACAAGAAGCCATTAGAAACAAGTGCATCGCTACTAGTAACAAGTGCCTTACTAGTAGTAACAAGAAGCCATTTGAAACAAGTGCATCGTTACTAGTAACAAGTGCCTTACTAGTAGTAACAAGAAGCCATTTGAAATGGGCCGCAGGGCCAGGGCGCTCATGGGGTATGTGTTTGCCTTGTTTTTCCTATGCCCGGAGTGGGCCTGGTGAGAGTTGCAAAACGGAACGGATCAATCTAAAGCGACAGAAAGAAGCACCCGGGGTCCGTGGACCAGGAGAGCGGCCGTGCAGATAGCCCAGTTGGAGAAGCACAGCCAAGAAAGAAGTCGTATATACTTTATGACATGGATAATTTGCTTATCCAAGATGGTTTTTGAACATGCGTCTTCATTTGTCCACGATTTTGGACAAGCACAGGTTAGCCCTGAAGCGCAGAAGACGTCCTCAGAAGCCAGTCAGGCCAGGGAAATCTGGCAGATTCTGCATGATTGTTTATGACCCAGCGTGATGTTGTAGGAAGATATTGGGTAGAACTATGATTTATTTATATACCATAAGTACAGGGCAGGCAAGAATGCTAGAACTTTTGTTACAAGGCTTTTGGCTTTTGTGTGGCAAGAGAAGTCCACAGAGGCTTTGGGCAGGGGAGATCTGTAATTTGTTGTATATGTATATATATATATGGCAGTTACTGTTTGTTCTGCTGGCAATCGAGCAAGACCTACGACCCACAGCTCCAGAGCATGTACAGGAATTTCTCAACGCTATGGCCCAACCTAAGAGCGGTGGCCTCCAACCTACCAGCAATGGCCTCCGACCTACTGGCAATGGCCTCCAACCTGCCAACCTACTGTAATAGCGATGGCCTCCAACCTAATCGACTAAAATCCAAGGTTTTGGGGTCAGGTGGACTCATGGAGTCATGGAGTACTTGTGAGGCTGATTGATGTCAAAGAGGTGGTTCACCATGAGAGGCAGTTGGCCCGGACTTTTGCTATTCTGATCCGCAGGGCCATTTTGGACCCTACTTTTTGCTGGGATCAAATTCACTCTCTGCAGTTCCTGACTCAACTTGCTTCCTTGTTTCGTCTCATCTTTGCTTCGAACAAGGGCATCTTTTTCAGAATGCCGCTTTGGCAGTGATGCTCCTTGCCGAGCGGCAACTCTGGTACAAGAAAAGTGCGACCTGGTCGCGCTACGCCCCTGCCAGATGTAAGCTGTGATTGACATGTATACTCTCAACATGTGTCAAGAATGCAGAACTTTACCTGTGTTACAGCTCCAATCCTTCTTTATTACTTCTTGATTTGCTTCTTGTTCCAGTCCAGCCCGCAGAGCAAGCTGGCCATCTCGACGGAAGGTTTTGAAGGCAGGAAGGCAATTAAAGACAAGTGCTTCCTTCGCAAGAGCGCCGCGCAACCTCATTTTGGACCTCATGCGGAGGGAAAGGCCAGTTGTTATTCCTCTCATGAAATCCAAGGTAGACGACAAACATGATGTTACGGCTTCAGATAGTTTGTCTTGAACAAACAGACTGCCAGCTGGGCCTGAGCACGAGGTGCGCAAAGCTTCAGAGATTATGCCCAAGGAGAGAGCCCTTCAAGACCTGTGAATGCCCCACTGTTGTTGATGAGAACCATTGTTTTTGTTTGGGGTTGGCATCTTAAGGCTCCATCATTGGGAGCCACGCTGTTGCTTTCGGTTTTGTTGCGGCTCCTTTGCAGTCCAGTCCTCAATATGCTCGGCGTCATTACGCACGCCCTTTCAGCTGTATAGGTCTCCTGCCTGATCGCTTTGGCGGGCAATGCCATTCTATGAGTAGAGAGATCAATTAAAAGGAGTTTTGTCTTGTCGATCTGAGAATCTGCCTTCAGGATGGTAGACAAGAGTTATTGGGTATAATTGCAGGATCTTGGATTTTCCAGATGTAGTGCCGAACAGAGGAGTAGGCAATATTCTCAAGACATGTTTTTCGCATCATTGCGCTTTTCATTAGTGTGGCAACACTTCTATATACTGTACATGTTCCTTTCGAGCTGGGCTCGAGCGGATAAAGCAGTACCGAATTTCCTTGGTGGCCTTGACCTCATGTAATTCCATGTAGCTCATGTTCATGGATGTTCTACAGATTCTACTGTTGTTACTCTTGCGTGGAGAGACACATGACACATGTTACCAACCTTTTCTTAGCTGCAACTTGAGCTGGGTAACGTGTGCAAAGAAGTTGAACAACAGAAGCTTCTATGCTACGGCGCTATGTCAGACGACAAGGATGCTGTTGAGATCATCGACCCTGAGGCCTCGCCTTTGGCTGGACAGTCTGTGTAGGTAGGCAGGATTGACCAAGCACTGCAGGAAACTTGAAAAACATTCTCATTGGAAACAAAATATGTAGGTCTTGTTTACCAGTGAAAGCTGGCCCGGATTTCCGAAATTGTGAGGTCCAGCAGCGCTGGAATGAAGACCTGCATGCCATTGAGGAAAGCATCAAGCTGATGTTGACCAATCATCTGCAAGAAGCCGAGGACACAAAGTTGGAGTCACTAGGGCTAATCTTTGCCGAATCCCGGTCCCATTCATCAAAAGAACGATGGCACCTTGCCTTACAGGATTGCAACATTGGAAAACAGTCCATTACTAATTTTTTGGTATATCCGGGATGGGAGGGAGATGTGGTTGGGATTTGGTTTGGACAGTTGCAACAGGATCTCCTGGCCTCTTCCACTGAGAACGTCGCACAGCGTGACTTCCGATTTGATGCTGGTGACCATGACATGCGAGGCGGATGGACGACACACGTTCCTTCATTCATGTTTGTCTCTTCCTGTAGTACTTAGACCATACCAGGGTAAGCTTTACACTCAACAACATATATATATATATATATGAAGAAAGCTTCATGTGATTTCCATGATGGCTTGGACATGTCTTGAGGGTCTGAGGTTGACCGCAGGCGCCTCAGCCAAGTGCTACGCGTGTTCGCTTCGGTGAGAAAGCCTGCTCGTCCGCGCCGCCATAGCACGGACTGCTTCAGTGGCACCGGAGCCTTTGGTTTTGTGTTCTTGGCCTTTGGGTGGTGGTTGGCTCCGCTTGCTTTCGCTTTTGGGCAGTTCTTTGCACGACCGAGCTCTTTGTCCTGGCGGCTGAGGAGGGTGACACTTGGCGGTGGATCTCGTCCTTCATCGTGGACATTGAGAACAAGTTCTTTGCCTTAGAGGCCAGTGGTTTCCGAGGGCACGCGCCTGTTGGAGCGGCTGGTGTGGTGGAAGAGCTTCGAATTTGACTTTTGCTGGTTTCACATCGTGTTTGAAGAGAAGATCCGAAGCGGATCGATTTTTCTAGCTGGCATGGCTGATGACGGCAAGGACTCCAACTCGGGTGCATGGGCCCGAGTACCTACGTGGGATGGCTCCCCTCAGACCTGGAGGTCATTCCGCAAGGAGATGAACTGGTGGCTAGCAGGTTTAGACCTGCAATCGACGAAGAAGTACAACTTGGCTGCCAGGTGGCTTCTCCGCCAGAGCGGAGTGGTTCGACAACGTGGAGAAGAATATGAACCTCATGAGTTGGCCTACCAGCAGGAGGTGAGGATGCCAAACCCCACGACAGGTGATGAGGAGGTGGTGACCCCGGAGGACCCACTTTCCGGGATCAACAAGCTGCTTCGTTCCTTGGAGGAAATGACCGGCAGAACATCGCTGGACAAAAGAGGCGAGCTCAGGAATGTCTTCTACCTTGAGCTGAGGAGGAAGAGCGGAGAGAGGATTTCTGAGTTTGCCACGAGATATCGTAGCTTGGTTGCCGAGCTGAAGATCGAGGGCGTGGTCATTGGAGATGGCGAGCTTGGATGGTGGTTCAAGCACAAGCTGGGATTAGATCCCTTGAGCGCTCAGTTGTTGGAAACGGCATTGGCCGGTGCTGAGGATTACCCCACCATCGAGCGTGAGGTCTTGCGCTTGTTCAAGGACCTGCATGTTGCAGATCCACTTCATCGACGAGGTGGAGAAGGAGAACAACGAGCTCCTTTGTTGAACAGGTTCTTGAGCCAGCAGGCCACTACAAGCAGGGCTTCTTCATACGCCCCCTCGATGGCAAGTTCGACTGGCAGGTCATTGAGATCGGGCTCCTCGACGGCGTCATCAGGTCGGTTCAACTCCAGTTCGGCCTACCGGAAACCCTTCGTTCAGAAGCAGGTCATGGTCTCTGAGGCCGAGGAGGATGAAATGGCTGCTGAGATCGCTCAGGAGGCGCATGAACCTGACCCTGAGGGCGATTCGCCTTCGCTTGAGGAGGTGCTCACGACTGAGGCTGAAGTCTTGGCGGCCGAGCTTGATGAAGCAGCGGCAAATGGTGTAGATGATGACACCCTCCGCGAGATCGAGGACAGTGTTGAAGCAGCAGCTGAGGCCTTCTTGACCATGAAGGAGGCCAGGACAAAGCTCCAAGAGGTTCGAAAGGACCGCGGCTATGGGAAAGCTCCAAATCCCACGGCCACCTCACCTACCTCCAAGGTGAACCTGAAGAAGCAATCTGATCGTCATCCTTGTTTTGATTGCGGCCTTCCAGGTCACTGGGCTGGAGATGCAGAGTGTCAAAAGCCAGGCCAGCAGCTGGGGCGAAAGAAGGGCAAGGCGACCTTGAAGCAAGTGAAGGTCACAGAGGCGCTCAACACCGAGCATGAAGAGGTTGCAACTGATGGCCACGAGGTCTTGATGGTGCAACGCCAGTCGCCTGTCCTTTCGGACGCCTTCCTTGAGACTGTACAGAACTTCCACGAGCCCAAAGAGGTCAATGCGCTTGGGCTCGCTGTTGACAAAAGGCTGATGGGGGCTCTGGACAGTGCCTGCAACCGCACTTGCACGGGTTCGGACTGGCTGCATAGCTTTTTGACGGTTTTGAGGGCAACGGCTCCAAAGGAAGTGGTGGATTTGGTCCGCAGTGAACCCGAGCATGAGACCTTCCGGTTTGGAAACGGCGGGACCCAAGTCAGCAATGAGAGGTGGAGGCTCCCTACGGTGGTTGGCGGTGGCATTATTTGTTTTTGGACATCGGTGGTGCCAGTTGCCTCCCTTGGGTTACTATTAGGTCGAGATTTTCTTGAAGCCGTAGGTGCGGTCATGGATTTTTCCCGTAGAGCCCTTCGTTGTGACCATTTGGACGGCATCGAGACCCCTTTGAACCAGCTCGCTGCAGGTCACTACGCTTTGCGGCTCCTGCCGGATCGCTGGAGAGGTTTGGGCGCTCAGAAGTGGAGGCGTTTTGGGTTGGACGGCATTGTTGAAGTGCAGTTCAGTTTCAAGCAGTGGATTCGTCGTCGGTTGAAACTTCCAGATGTCGCTTTTCATGAATCGTTTTCAGACAGTCATGATCACTTCCTGACGGAGAACAGTGTTCGTGCTGGCCACCTTGTCTGCACAGCGTTGTCCCCGCTGTCGTCTGGCTCGGTTCAAGCGACCTCAATGCCACGGCCTACTCGTGGCAGCGTTTTCACGTCGACTTCCCCTACTACCAGGACGACCCCGAGGACTTCTACCCGGCATGGAGAGCCACTCAAAGGAGCAGCTCGGACCTCATGTGATGACCATGGCAGTGACTCGGTGGCGGAGGTTTGTCCTTCGCGTGCGAGAAAGGTTCAACTGGGCCGTGAAAGGAGTGCTCTTGTGGGCCCTGCCAAGGCCCTACTTGCGGTTCTTACCGCTACCCTATCCCTCTACGGGAACGGCCGACATGTGGTTGCGCCAAGGTCAGCAACAAGTCAAGGATGGTCATGGATGCCGGAAGCACCTCGACATGGCCTACACCATGGACAGGTTCACCTACCAGAATTTGAGCGAATGCATCCATTGGCGAAACCGCCTTGGACTTCAAACGTCCTTCTGCGAGGACCCGATCGTGATGGGCATGATTCATGGCAAGATGGCAAAAGGCCTGCAGAACAAGGTGAAGAATGCCGCGTTGCTCGAAGCTCAGCAAGAGGCCAGAGAAGCAGAAGCTGCAGGAACCAAGGAGGAGCAGGCGAGAGCCCTGATCGGACCCCGTGGCGGTTTGCCGCCGCTTCGAGGGGATTTGATCAAGCTGGCGACCTTGTTGAACGTGGACGTGAAGGCCGACGACAACGTGGAGACCACCAAGAACAAGGTGCGACCTATCGTCAACCTGCTCAAGGAATCGGTGGCTTCCGGGAAGGCCAAGGCCAAGGTCAAGCCGGCTCCAAAGAAAGCTCAAGGTTGGACCGTGGGCTACGCCGCCGGCATCAAGACAGAGCCATCCCCTGGCATGGTCTCCTACCAGCACCTGATCGACATGAGAGATCGATTCCAACACACTCTGGACAATATGGCACTGGAGATTCAAGAGCTCCGCAATCAACAAGGGCAAGCGGTGACGGTCGATTTGACCAGCCTGGGATCAGCGAGTGCTATGTCAGCACAGGATGCAGTGGACCCCGAGCTCCTTCAGGACGCAGCCTGGTCGCTGGAGGGAGCATACGAACAGCAGCTGATGGCTCAGTACGGGGACAACATCGAATGGCTGACCCGGGAGGAGAGACAAGCAGTGCTGGATCCCTGAATCCCTACAAGTTGCATCAAAGACTGAAACCGGGGCAAGCCAACCTGATCGCTCAGGCATGGGATCGACACGTGGCTGACCGTCTTCGCATCTCGCAGGAGCCCAAGAAGGTTCAGCAGATTCTGGAGGCCGAGTACTTCAAGGAAATGAATGACTTCATGAATGAAGAGACCTTCGTGCAAACGATTGACTTGATGCCAAAGCTCTCTGAGGCCTGTCAGAATGAGCACGTGGATCGAAGCGCCAAGCAGCCGCTGGTGACTGAGGTCTACACCACTGCTCAGAACATCACAAAGGAGGCTCAACGTCGAGGTCACAAAGTTGGAGCAGCGCTGAGCCTCGAAACTGGGTGGAACTTCCTCTTGCAAGAGCACCGGGACCTTGCTCGGAAGAGGGTGGTGAAGGAAAAGCCTTTCCTCCTGGCCCTTGCCTTTCCTTGTGGACCTTTCAGCCCTCTTCAACACCTCAATGCTCGAGGAAGAAGGACATGGCCACAACGGTTGGAAGATGGCCGCACCTTGATGAGGTTTGCCCTGGAATTGGCCACTCTCCAACTCGAAGGTGGAAGACATTGCCTGCTGGAGAATCCTAAGCCGTCCGCGGCTTGGAAGGAGCCGGAGATGCGAAAGTTCATTGAGGAGAACAATGTTTTTGAGGCCAACTTTGATCAGTGTCGATTTGGTCTGAGGAATGCCAGTGGTGACCTTCATCGCAAGGCGACCTTGGTGGTGAGCTCGAGCTCGGACGTGCTCGATCAACTGGATGGAATGGTTTGCAAGCGTGACCATTTTCACGCCCCAGTGATCGGGGGCTCAAAAGTTACAGCCCAAGCGGGCATCTACCCTATGTCTTTGGCGAGGGCTATCGTCAAGGGCATTGAGCTTCAGTTCGACCGACAACACAAGCCCAAGGAAGTAAATGCTTTGGAGCCCATCGCAGAAGGAGAAGAAGATGACACTGCTGCCACAGGTGGTGCCTTTGGCGTGCGAGAAGAGTCAGATGATGACGAGTTGGCCGAAACTCCGGCAGAGAAGAATATGACCATTCCAGCGGCAGTCAAGCTGGCGGTCAAGCGACTCCATGAGAACACTGGCCATCGCAGTGGCAAACGATTGGCTCGGGCTTTGACCATTGCGGGAGCTCCTGTGGAAGCCATTGTCGCGGCGAAGCGCCATCGATGCCAGGTGTGTCAGGAGAGGGCTCCTCCTAAGAGTCGCAGACCAGCTTCACTCCCTTCACCGAAAGACCTTGGAGATCAGGTCCATCTGGATCTGTTGGAGGTTGAAGATGCTGCTGAAAACAAGTATTTTGTGGCCCACTGCACAGACTTCGCAACACGCTTTCAAGCCGCGGAGATCCTCCCCAACAAATCGACCCAGGCGGTGATCCAGTTTATGACCAAGAGATGGGTGGCCATGTTTGGACCTCCAAGAGTGCTTGTCTGTGATCAAGGCCGCGAATTCATTTCTTGGGAGATGGAAGAGTGGGCTAGTTCGATGAGCAGCATGCTTCACCACATTGCCGTGCAGGCCCCATGGCAAAACGGGGTCGCAGAGAAATCGGGAGGAGTGCTGAAAACCATCGTTGCTGCCATAGTCACTGCAAAAAGCATCGTCGCCCGAGAGGAGATGGAGATGGCATTGGCAGAAGCTATAGCCGCTTACAACGGCGACGTGGATGGTGAATCGGGCTGTTCCCCTTTTCAAGCAGCTCTCGGTCAGCAACCAAGGATGGTGGGCGATGTTTTGGGCGGCATTCAACAACGCCTAGGAGAACATGGCCTGGTGGAGAGCAAACCTTCTTTTGCAAGGCAGATTGCAATGAGAGAGACTGCCAAGCTGGCGATGACCCGACTTCATTTTTCTCGAGGTCTACGCAAGGCAGAGCTGGCGAGATCTAGATCATCTACCATCGAAAGTGCACCGACACCTGGGACCATTTGCTACTTCTACCGGCCACTTCGATACAACAACAAGATGAGCCAAAGCCGGAAGAAGCTGACGTTGAAGCGTTGGCATGGGCCAGCGATGTTGGTGGCCATGGATGGACATGCTTCTGCCTTTCTTTCCTACAAGGGCCAGCTCACGAAGTGCGCTTTGGAGCACGTCCGACCAGCCTCAACAATGGAACAAATTGCTTCCGGGGCATGGGAAGAGGCCATCAAAGAAGCTGTTGAAGACGCTCGACATGAGATGGCTTTGCGAAAGCATCAAGAGGTCCATGAAGAACCTCCCAGCCGAGTCCAAGGTGAACTCCCTCTCCAAGTCCTACCAGAGACGCCAGCTGAGGTTGAGAATCCCAAGACTCCGGCATTTCTACCTTCGTCTTCGGCACCCTTGAACGTCGATGAGAACCAGTCAGGAGGCGGAGATCTACCCCCTGTTCAACCAAAGGAGTTCTGGCAGATGATGGTTCCCTCCAGTTCTCCGGCACCTTCCCAGGTAGACTCAACCTTGCCGTCAAGACGAGGCAGCGATTTTTCAGAGACCCCTTTTCCGGAGACTACAAGGTGGGCTATGAGCCGAAAATCCTCAGGGGCACCGCTTGAAACAGTGCGAGAGCGCGCCCGGATGATGGATGCCCAAGCAGAAGCTGGAGTGAAACGACCAGCTGAAGTGGATGCTGACATCCTCCGTGACCAAGATCGACATGGGCATGAACCAGAGGCTTCGAGCACTTCGGAAGCACTGGTGATGGAGAGATCCCTCCGAAGAGAGATCCAAGAGGAATTGAACCTGACCAATCTTCATCCATTACGAAGAGCTCATTTACAAGCCTGTTTGGACAAGATTGATCCCTTGGAGGCTCTTGTGAATGACCACGGCACCTGGCATGGGAAGTGGTCGTTGCCTTCAAGATCGGTGTGGCAAACCCATGAGAGGCTTGGAATTCCCTGGCCAACCGGTGACCAACCAGACCATGAAGTGGATGTGGTTCAAGCGAACCGAAAAGAGTTTCGTTGGAGAACCATGTCTGAGGCGGAGAAACTGGCTTTCACCGAGGCCGCAAGACAGGCCTGGGCAGTTTGGGAGGAGAATGATGCAATAGAAGTGCTGACACCGGAAGAGTCCAGCCGGATTCGACGTCGATTGATGTCAAATCGTGAAGGGAGCAAGATTCTCACACCACGCTATGTGTTCACCGACCGGCATGAGGGACTTCGGACATTGCAGAATCCACTTCCTCTCAAAGCTCGTGCTCGAGTCATCGTACCAGGCTACAAAGATGTTTTCTCCTACAGCCTGAGGAAAGACGCACCGACTGGTTCACGGGTTTCCCAACACATGCTGTTCACCTACACGGCCAGCAATGCCCATCCTGGTGTGAAAGCTTCGGAACGCTGGCGGATCATGTCAGCGGATGTCAAGTCAGCCTTCCTCAAAGGGGATGCCTACGTGGATGGACAACGGGAGTTGTTCCTCGAGAATGTGAAGGGTGATGAACCCAAACTACCCTTTGGGAACTCCCTTGCTCGGATCAGAAAAGGGGTGTTCGGACTTTCTGACGCTCCCCGACAATGGTATCTACGGCTGAACAAGTCACTGATCAATGCTGGTTGGGAGAGGACAGTGTTTGACTATGCGTGTTGGCTGCTCTGGTCAGAAGACCGCCGTGTGCTACATGGCATCATCATTTCGCACGTGGACGACCTGCTGCTCGGTGGTGATGACAGGGCGCAAAAGAGTCTGCTGTCCATTGGACAGGAGCTGGGCTTTGGTAGTGTGGAGTATGATGACTTTGTGTATTGCGGCAAGCGTGTGAAAATGGAGAGCAGTGGCAACATTGTGATCAACATGAAGGCGTACCATGACAATCTAAAGCCCGTCGAGATTCCCCTCTCTCGGCGCAAGACACCAGAAGCTGAGTTGAACGATCATGAACGACGACAACTCAGGGCCGTGCTGGGATCTTTGCAGTGGCTTGTTGCTCAGGTCCGTTTTGACCAAGGCAGCCAACGTCCTCCTCAAGGAGTTCAAAAAGAGAGCTGATTTTGCCCTCATCTTCCGGCCGCTCAACCTCGAACAGGCGGGGATACTTTCTATCTCGGATTCCTCACTCGGAAATGTCACCAAAGAAGGCGGACATGAAGGTGAAGTGCTGGAAAAGCTCTACAGCCAATCGGCCTATTTTGTGGTCCTGGCTGACAAAAGCCTAATGGAAGGCAAGGAGGGCTGGTTCAACGTGTTGGACGCCCGCAGCCACCGCCTTCCTCGGGTCTGCCGCTCGACCTATGGGGCAGAGCTCATGGGTGTTGAGGAGGGAATGGACATGGGCATCTACTGCCGTGGAAGCTTCGCTGATTTTCGCGGCCTGCCGATGGGACGCCGAGATGCTTTGAGAGTGATGGAGGAAATTCCCTTCATCGCGGTGACGGACGCGAAGGACACCTATGATCGGAGCAACTCCGATTGTCCTACCTATGGAGCTCAAAAGTTGATGGCCTTCTCAGTTGCCTGGATCCGGCAAGTCCTACACGGGCACAACTCGAGCTTGAAATGGACGGCCACGGCCAACATGTGGGTGGATGCTGGAACGAAGTTGATGGCCACCGACCGCATGCATGACATTTTAGATCGTGGCAAATGGAGCTATGTGTTCCACCAGTCCTATGTCAAGCAACCGGCCCGGAAAAAGGTGTTGGCAAGTGTCAGTGGGGAAGGTGAACTTCCGGGAACGGCTTTAGATGAGAAGTCTCCAATTTTTCAGTTTGTTTTGAGCCTCAGCTATCATCCCGGCTGGCGCAAGCGAGATGACATGGTGGCTCATGTGGCCCTAGGAGCGAAGTCATTTAGAGTACCTGATGCCCGCTTCGGTACGACTAAGTTCCCTTGGCGATCGAGTTTTGGTCGTTTTGATTTAGAAGACGGCCGATCTGTTTGGCGGGAGCTTGAGAAAGGAAAGAATTTGAATGAGATGACGGTCCGACAGGGACTCCTTTCTCGACCTGCTCACTGCCTGATCTCGATCTTCATGTCTCAAGCCACAAAGAAGAAGGATTCGCTGAAGAAAGCTTCATGTGATTTCCATGGTGGCTTGGACATGTCTTGAGGGTCTGAGGTTGACCGCAGGTGCCTCAGCCAAGTGCTACGCGTGTTCGCTTCGGTGAGAAAGCCTGCTCGTCCGCGCCGCCATAGCACGGACTGCTTCAATATATATATATATATAGTACATTATAATACAGATACATATGCACGTGTATAGACCAATTTTTGACACTATTCTTGTTGCTTCCAGTTGTTTCAAGCTAAGACCCAACTCGTCCGAACTCTGTATGTAACCTCGAGCCCGCACTTTGGCATGGTTGGGACACATGAATGATGCCCTCAGCCCTCAGCAAACCACTTCTTACAAGCCCGTGGCGCAAGAACTCTGGTAGGTGGTAACAAATTGCATCAGAATGACAGCAAATGGAGCTTGGAGCTGCTGGCTTTCCCAATGTACAGCCAACACGGTCTTTCTAACAAGAAACATCAAGCATGGTCTACCAAACTATGCAGATCACATCATCAAGTCAGTATTTGCACCTTCTGTTTGCAGGGCAAGAAAGTGTGAAACCTAGGACATGATGAGGAATGTTGAATGATCTCTGGTTCAAAAGAGGGCTGGGAAACTTTAGCGTCAACGTTTGGTTTCAACCTTTGCGTTGCAAACCCCTAGATACGCAGCGCCAGGCTTTTGTATGCTTGGTGTTGAGAAAGAGTGCCAAGCGAGTGGCATACATTCCCGATACGAATGCTGGCCATGTTGTTGGTGTTGCTTTTGTATTCTCTTTCAACATTGTTTAAGCAATCCAATTCCTTTTTTGTGCACAGGCTGCTTCACTTTCGTGAGTGCCTTGATGAGCTTGATTAACGGCTTGGCCTCACTGGAGAACCTGGGCCTTCGTAGAAGGGCTTTGGGATGCTTTGTGGATGAGCTGCTACAATTCTTGAATTTCAAGATAATTTTTCGACAACTTGCTGGAAGTGATTATGCCCCAGAGAGCGAGAGCTAATTATTGGGGTTCTTACTTCAAGTATACATATAGGAAGATGTGCCTGCGCGCGCTTTGGAGCCTGGGTCTGGTGCACCGCAGCTCGCCGCTGCCAGATGTGTAGCCGTGTGCACTTCGGAACTTGGGTGCTGGCGCTGCTGCAGGGTGCTGCTGTCCATGCCCGTGTGCACATGTGGAGACATGTGTATGGCCGTGTGCGCTTTGGAGCCTTAGTGTTGGTGCTGCTGCAGGGAGCCGCTGCTAGATGCGCGTGATGCCTAGATGCGATGCTACCGCAGGGTGCCGCTGCCAGGTGTGGCCATGTGCGCTTCAGAACGTGGGTGATGGTGCTGCACACAGACAATTCTTTTGCTATCTGGAGCCTATGCTGGCGTAATTTTGTTTGTCAGAGATTATCAGAGAGTTTTTGAGCTATGATGCCCGGCCACGGCCGGTAGAGACTTGGGGAGCCACCAATAAGTGGAATGCACTGCTGCATAAGCTCTGAGGAACAACCAGCTGGACACAGTTCTTCAGAGAGTGCGGCTTGCAGACGAGGAGCTTCAACTTGACAATGACTGGGCTGGACGTACGGTTCTCCGAGGTGCCATGGGAAACTAGAACGACTTGCGAAGATTTTTGGGCAAAGGTCTCGAAGTCCATTGTAGCTGCTTGTCCGAGAAAAGACACGGTAACGCCGGAAGCCTGATGATAAAGAACGCGTTACGAGTCTCAACTGAACAGCAGGAGCTACCCGCAATGTATGTCATGTTGGCATCTCTGAATGATCTCTTCCTTCACCACAGCTGAAAGCTCGTGCAATTTCCTCAAAAAAACGGTCTCTTTTTCTTCACAAACGCTCCAGGTTGTGAAGTTCCATTGGATTTCAATCTCTGGGGATGGGACACGGTGCTCCAAAACTGGACTTCATCCGAAAGGTAGGGTACATGGCTTGAAAGCCAGAATTCATCCTGTAATTGTGGGTGGTGGGAGTGGTGCGCAGTTTGTCCAAAGGGCTTGAGAACCGGAATTCATCCACGTGCTCCAAAACCGGAATTCCATCGTGGAAGCTGGGCGCTGTCTAAACCTTTGGGTGTTTTCTGGGCTGGGGGTGGTGCCAATCGCGTACAGGGTTTGAAAACCAGAGCTCAATCCTTCAGTGCTGCGGTCGGGGGCAGGCAGACAAACGAACGTATCGGAGATATCGTTAAAACATGATTTTCGTGGCAGCGCTTCCTGTTTAGACTTTGCTGTTTGTTCCGAACAGCAGAACGCTGTTGGGTTTCAATCTCTGGGCCTACCGTGGTTTCTACACTTCACCGTCATTTCGCGAGCGAGAGGGTTGCCGCGGAAACCTCTATATTGTAACGCTCCCGCAGTTTTTGACACTTGCCTCATTTCGTGCGAGAGGGTTGCCGACGACGACTTGAAATTGCAATATTCCCTGCAGCCTTTGACGCTTGGTCTTCATTTCGTTCAAGAGGGTTGCCGCCGAACAATTTTTGGGCGCTTGGCGCGCGTTACATGCTGCGGGGTTGCCGCTGACCAATATTCCCTGTTGTCCTTTTTTTTGGCGAGAGGGTTGCTGCCGAACCAGATTGAAACCATCATATCCCCCGCAGTTTGTGATGCGTGGCCCGAGAGGGCTGCCGCCGAAACAAAAAATCACAATGGCCCCGCAGATCCACTTGACCCACGAGAGGGGTGCCGTGGAAGCGTCGAAATCGGGACATTGCCGCAGTTTTTGACACTTGCTTGCGCCAAACAGCGGGCCAGCACAGGGTTCAGTGGCAGTTTGGTTGCTGTCGGTGTTAGTGGTGTTGTGGTGGTTGTTGTTGGTTTTGGTGGCGGTGGTGGTGGCGGTGGTCGTGGTGGTGGTGGTGGTGGTGGTTGTGGTTGTTGTTGATGTCATTGTTGTTGTGGTGGTGGTGGTGGTTGTAAGTAGTAGTAGTCGTCGTCGTCGTCAAAGTACTAGTACTAGTAGTAGTAGTAGTAGTAGTAGTAGTAGTAGTAGTAGTAGTGTAGTGGTAGTGGTAGTGGTAGTGGTAGTGGTAGTGGTAGTGGTAGT